AAAATAAACAGCCCCTCTGAACAGCCCTGTCTTAGCAGTCAACCGGATTTTCCCTCTGGTTCCCCAGCCCAGGGCCATTTCCCTCCCCTCCCCTCCCCTGCTCTCTGTCTGGGCCCCTGGAGGCCAAGGCTCTACCGCGGGAGTGTGGGGGGGAGTAAAGGGGGGGGGTCTCAGTCCAGGCTGTGTGGCCTTGGGGAACTTGCCTCCCCTCTCTGGGCTTTTGGGGATGACATGCTTGCCAGAATGGAAGCATGGAGATCAACTCAGAGGTGGCTGGAACTTTTTCTCCTTCAGGAAAGAGTTCTTACCCCCAATGACTCCCATGTGGCATAAACTTAGGAACATTCGCTCCCTTTAAAAACATGACCCCAAATTTAAGGGTCAATTTATGGTGAGGTTCAAATTACACTGGTTTGCCTGTGCCTTTGGGGAAAATTCTCAGACTCACCAGGACTGAGGATGCATCCCAGCCCACCTCCCCATCCCCTGAAAGCCCAGCCCAGAGGGGTGAGCCATAGTAGCAAAAACAGACTTCCTTGGGGGGGGGGGGGGCGGTCAGGAGTGTCTGGGTTCTTGCAAAGGGTTCTGAATAATTCTGTAAATAACCCATTCTGAGTCCTGGCCCCACTCGGGGATGAATTGGGGTTGAATTTTAGGTCCACCATCTCGGGTGCAAGAAGGACTCAACCCAGGAAGCATGGATGGCTCCGCTGTCTGCCTAGTGCTTCTGAGGTGAGACCCTGGGCCCTGCACCTACGGGTTCCTAGCATCTTCAGGAAGGGCTGACGAGTCCTGGAACCTGGGCTCTGGTGGCCTCCAGCAACTCCGGGAGGCACATGGATTTCTTCTGGGCCCCTCACTTCGGACAAGCGGGGGTTCCCAGAGCCCCCCTGAGGGGAGAGTGTGCTGGAGTCCCCAGCCTCTTCCCTCCTTTCCTTCCTTCCCTCCTTTCTCCTCGCTCCCTCCCCCTCCCCCTTCTCTCCCGCACAAAAGCTCTCTGTACACAGCCACTTCCTCTGGCTGCTGTCTCTGAGCCCAGACCTTATGAGAACCATATGGGGGAAAGAGGGTGGAAGGGAAGGGGGTGGGGAGGCCGCGTGGGCCCGCCCCTCCAGCCAGCATCTCTCCCCTCCCCTCGGGGCTCCTTGCAGGCCGTTGGCACACTTTGCCCCCAGCTCCCCCTAACTGGACCCCACAGCTGGGGCCAGGGGCGCTGAAGGGAGGGCACTCAGGGATAGGGGATCAGGGGAGGGCTGGGAAGGGGCCTCCCTGCCCCATGGTGCTCTGAAGACCACCAAACTCACAGCCAAGGGCCCTCGCCACCACCAGGCACATCTGCATGGCCCAGGCTCCTTCTCTCCTGTGGGGGCAGCCTATGTGGTGGGCAACCCTCCAGACTGAGTGGATGAGGGTTCATCCCCTGTCCCATGCCTGCCTCCCATCCCCACCCAGCCTGGGAATGTTCCCAGGTCAAAGGGGCCTGGGTCCTGCTGGGAAGGAACCCGGTTTTCTAAATCAGCCTTTGTGTCCTTTGGCTTCCAAGTCCAGCCAGGTGAACACACTCTCTCACCTGAAAGGAACACTAGGGGAACCCCACCAGCTAATCCTGATGCTGGCATGAGCCAGCTAAACTGTGAGGCTCTGGGCAAGACGTGGCCTTCACCCATCTGGCCTCAGTTTGCTCAGCTGTCAGATGTTCATGTAGGGGCTGGACCCCTGGTCTCTAAGGCTCTTTTCGGCTCAGGGGCCCAGAAACTCATGACCCTGCCTGGTAGGTATCCTCTGAGGGCCTGCTCAGAGGTCCTGGGAGGTCCTCATCGGAGATTTCCTTCTAGAGTTATCCATTATCAGTCTCTTCGTGGAATCCCTGAACAACCCCATTCACTCTCCCCATCTCCGTAACTCCCAGAGCCCAGAATCAGAGGGCAGGCCCATCAGCTGCTGCCCAGGGGTGAGTAGGGGGCTCACAGTGGTCTGTGTCTCCATCCCCTGCCTGTGATAAGCCACTCCCCCCAAGAGAACTTGCCCCTCAAGGGAGGCCCATAAAGGCTCCTGCTTTTTAAAGGCTCCCACCTGGGGGTGGGGTGGGGTGGTGGGGACATGCCCACAGCTGCCCCCTGGACCAGCTGTGAGACTAGGGGGTGGGGTGGGCAGATGGATCAGGAAGAAAGCCAAGAGTTCTACTTTCCTGGAAAAACTGCGAATGAAAATCCATTAGAGGAAAGAAAAAAAAAAAAAAAAAGCCAAGGGTGGAGAGAGGGGCCTGCAAAACAGAAGGCAGGACTGCAGATAACAGGGTGGGGGCGGAAGGGTTTTCCCGGAGGTGAGTGGCTCTGTTGACAGGGTTGCCCCTGATCAGCCTGGAGGTTGGCTGCAGACGGGCACCTTATCTAGCACTTTCTCTGCCTGGAGAGCCTGCCAGGCTTCCCAAGGTAGAGGCCTGACTTTCCCCCTGCCTGCCCAGGACCCACATGGGCAGGGCAGTGTGTGGAGGGAACTGAGAGCTGGCAGCCCATTCTGGAGGAAAACAGGGGAGGAGAGAGGGGAAAGCTATAATGCAAAGGCTACTGGCCCGAGTCCATTGTCTGTCCTAGGTCATGGGCAGAAAGGGGAAAGGAGAAATTTTGGGGGGGGGGTGGAAATAATAAAGGAGGGAGGCATTTGGGAGGGTGTGAAGGTTTCTGTGCTCTCTGCCTTCCTTTGCTGCCAGACTGGAGTGGCTGAAGCCCCTTCCCAGCCCTTCTTCCCTCAATATGCATGCTGGCTAGGGATGGGTTTACTGGGGGGACCGAGCCCCCAGAAGAGAATCTGTGCCCAGCTTCTGCTGAAGGAGAATGTGGGCTCTTTTCTTTTAGAAGCTTGGGGGACGGGTTGCAGTCTGGATCCGGATTAGGTGAAGTCCGTGGGGTGGTCTCTGAAGCAAGTGTCCATGGCTGGTCCCAGTATCACCCCAGAGCGGGCTGATGGGCCAGCGGGCTCTCAGGGGCTGCTCCAGCTTGGCCTGCCCTGCCTCTTGTCCCTGCAGAGATGTCTAGCCTGGCTGAGGGGTGGGAGACTATTCTTTGGAAGGTATCTTAAGCCAGGTAGGTCAGTGGCCTGGGACAAAAGGTGGGCGGCCCTTCCTCTGGGGATGGTTAGGGATGGGAAGGTGAGCTAGGGATCCTGTTGACTGCCAACCTGTCCTCAGATCTTTTTACCCAGCATCTCTCTTGCTGAGAATGTATCTTCTCACCCCACTCTGTCTCCTTGGAGTGGCGTCCACAGGAATTAGCCATGGCTGGAAAGCATTAGTTGCCAAATCATTCTAAGATGTACTGCAAAACCACGTTTAATGTTTTTCCCCTTCTTTCTGCTGTCAGTATGTTAGGATGCCCTAATCTCAGCAGATGTGTGTAAGCAGGGCTGAAAGATCCAGGGCAGACACACACACACACCCCTCTTGGAGCTCAATTCTCATCACCCAGCGGGGACTCACACAGACATACTGGCCCAACCATTCCACACAGCAAGCATTTTTCTCCTCCAGAACTGAGTGGGCTGGGGAATGCCCAGGCCTGTCTGGACACTTCCACACCAGTGGACTCTCAGGGGGGTGGGAATCAGCTACCACAGCTGTCTTCCCAGGCCATGGCCCCATCCCCTGAGTGGCGGGAACCCGGTAGAGAGCAGAGAGACACGGCTTCCACCCCACTAACACACACAGGCACACACACACCCCAGGCTAGGCGGCCAACGTCAGAGGCTGACCAGTCGTGTCCTGTCAGGAAGCGCACAGCCTCTGAACTCACCCAACCAGAGTCGTTACTGTATTGTTCTGGACACAATCGGATAGACCCTGAGCCAGCTCCCAACTCCAGGGCAAGGGGTGGTGGGGAAACGGTCGCCACCGGGGTCAGGAGGACAGGGAAGGGGAAGTGGCCTGGAGGCTGGGTCTAGGACAGGACAGGAAGGGGCCGCCGCCAGGGCCGGAGCCCCCACTCCACGGCGCGCGTGGAGCTCCGAGCACGTGGTCCCCGCAAGAAATCGCGGCGGTGGGGAGCGGTCGCTAATTCTCCTGCGGGGTGCCGGGATCTCGGACCCCCATCGGGGAGGCTGGGGGTTGGGTTGTGGCGCGGCGGGCAGAGCCGGTTGCCAATGAGGGCTTAATAAGGCCCGGGCTGAGAAGGGAAACGGGACGACGGAGGGAGGTTGGGAGGCAGCCTCCTTCCCCTCCGCCAGGTTTCTTTTTCTGCAATCTGTGCGCGAAGTCAATCGAGAAACGGCCACACTTCGTCTTCATATCCGAGGAGGGACAGAGGAGGAAGGGATGCAGGACTAGGAGCACAGGTCAATTCACAGATGCGCGCGGCGGGACAGGGGCTCAAGAGGAATCGGGACGCCGGGGGGTCTCGTTCACATCAGAAGCGCCTGCACCCCAAGGATAGGCATTTTTCCGAACCCACCCTCCTGACTGAGCTAGAGAGACGGGCTGCAAGCGGGGCTGGGAGGTTCCGGGGTCGGATGGGGCGCCCCCATCTGGAGGATCCAGGCCCGCAGGGTGAACCCGGGCAACTCCCCCAGTGCGGCCAGGGAAGCGTCCGCGGTGGTAACGACCACAGGCACCTACTGGGCCGCGGGCGTCGATCTCCGCTGAGCCTTCCTACCATTCTACCCACCTCAGGTCCCCGAAGTCCGCAACACCAGCCCCGGCTAGAAAGCCAAGGGGTCTGGGCGTCCCGCCAGCGCGCGTTCCCCTTCACCTGTGCAGGTGAGTGGGAGCACCGCGGTGCCTCTCTTTGGGGTGCATCCGTCCTCAGTGCTCCTTCCTCCCTCCTTCCACGCCTGGATCCCTAATCTTTCCTCTGCTTCTCCCAAGCCTCCCTTCTCGGCTTCTGGACTCAGGCCTGAAGTCTCTCAAGTGGTGGCATCGTCTCTGTCCCCCATTCCCCAGTCCTCCCGTCTGGTCTCCTGTCGTGCCCTCGTCGGGACTGGGGCCCGGCCGGCCCGAGTAGGGTACTCACAGGGTAACGGTGCTGTTCGGCAGAAGGCCGGGATCGGGAGGCTCCGGGAGGTCCCCGCCGCCGCACACCACCCTCCTGCGCGCCGGGTTGGGGGCGCCGCCGCTGAGCCCCTTGGGCCGCTCCCCCGAGCACTTGCAGCTGCGAATGGGGACCGGGCAGCCGGGCGCGCCCCGAGTCTCGGGCGTCAAAAGCAGCAGCCACGGCAGCAGCAGCGGCAGCAGCAGGCGCGCGGGCGCCTCCCGCATCCTGCGTCCCGCGGCGCCCATCAGCCCATCGCCCCGCGGGGACCCACAGCGCCAGGGCCCGTCTGCGCGCCGGCCGGAGGGATCCGGGCGGGTCCTGCTCGCTCTGCGCGGGGCTGGGACCTAGCGGATCGCGCCGGGCTCCTGCCGCCGCCGCCGCCGCTCCGTGCCATGGATGGAGGCAGCTCGGCCTGGGCCGGATGAGGCCGGGCCCCTCCGCGTCGCCTGCTCGCTCTGCGCGGGGCTGGGACCTAGCGGATCGCGCCGGGCTCCTGCCGCCGCCGCCGCCGCTCCGTGCCATGGATGGAGGCAGCTCGGCGCGGCGCCGCTGCCGCCGCCTCCAGCCCCCGCCCGCCCTCCCGAGAGGGCGCCCTCCCCTCGCCAGCTCGTCCGTCCGCGAGGCCCTAGCGCCTCCCGATGCGCGGCCAGGCCGCTGCCCTCCTCCGAGTCGCAGCCGTTCCGCCGGCGGGAGGCCCCACGCGTCCCCCGCGCCCGCCCTGACTCTGGACGTCTCCCGGCCGCCCCTCTCCCCCGAGCCGAGGTTCTTCCTCTCGACAACCCCAGCCAACCGCTAGCACTTCCCACGGAATCCTGCCTCACTCTTGCCCGTCCAGCCTGCACCCCGATGCTTCTGGGGCTTTCATCGACCCGCGGGCTTGACCAGAGATGTCCCTGGGTGGGAATGAACTTTGTACCCGCTCCGGGGTTGCCGAGGCTAGGCTTCCCCTGACCCCTGACCTGGTGGGCCAGGCTGGAAGCCCGGAGCTCACTCTCGCAGCCCTGCTCCAGTCAGGATATAAGAGCTGAAGACGAAGGAGGCTCTCGGACCCGCCGGGTGACCTCGCCCAGCGGGGGTTTCATGTCACTGGGCCAGGAGGGGTCAAAGGCCGAGGCAGGTCAGATCTAGGGGCCTACCTTTTCCACATCTCTGTGCGTGCGCATGGCCGCGCGCGCGCGGGGGTGTGTGAGGGTGGGTTGTTGGGTGGGAATGAGCAGAACTGAGAAGGCAAAAGCAGGGATTCCCACTGGCTGTGGGAAGAGCACTGCAGTGAGTCAGGAGGGCCCGGTCTGGTCTGGGCGGCTCTGACTAAGGACGCAGTCCCTGACATCCTGGGCTGTCAAATCTCCACAGTCCAAAGGGGCCCTTCCGCCCCCTAATTGGTGACTGCAAGTTGTGGCCTGCGAATGAGTGAGTGGGCGGGACGACTCCGGTGGCGACGAAAACTCTCAGTGGGTCTTAGATGGGCTGTAATGCCGGCTAGGAACCCGGCTGGGGACGGAAGGGCCGAGTGAAGTGTGGCCCAGTGTGCCTACTCCCTCAGTTTCCCCACGAAGGCGGCCTTTTCTGCCACTTAATAGCACCTTTGCGGTGGAGACGCAGGCTGCCGGGAGTTGGGGGACCCCTGAGGCGAGCCCCCTTTCTCCGTCCTCCGTTGGGCCACCAAAGTGGCCTCTCTGATGACCGCCGCCTTCTTTGGTGCCGCGGGCCTGTGTGGTACCTTTTCCAGCACGGTGGCCTTTCAGCGGGGTCCCCCCACCCCGCGCCTTTCCTGGGAAGGGTTTCTTTCCCTTGTGTGGGCGGCAGACGCTGAGCCCAGACACAGGCTTCTTCTGGCTCCACAAGCCTCTCCCAGTTGCAGGCTCTGGTTCCTTCAACTTCCAAAGATAAATAAATAGTGATTGCAAATGGAGGAAGGGAGAAGGGGACGGCCGCCTCCCCCCCCAGCAGGAGCCCTCCTCAGGGCGGGCGCAGGGGCCAGGCCTGCATTCCTAGGAAGGGTCGTCAGAGAGCCACGGCCCACAGGCAGGTCTGCCACCCGGCCCTCCTGTTCCCAGGCCAGGAAACTTCTCAGAGACGAGCGCAGGGGACGCCTCGGTCCTGGGTCACACAGCTCTCCTGTCTTTTTTTTTTTTTTTTTGCTCAGCGGAGACACTGTTAAGTCTGAAAAGGAATCCCACTGCAACAGTCGCTCTCTGAGGCTGAATCAAGGCCAAATGACTTTTAGTGAGGCAGTGATTCCTCACAGGTGGGAATGAGGTGCGGGGTGGAAACATTTGCAAAATGCTGTCCTGTCCTGCTGGTCATCCGTTTTGATCTCTCTTCCCATCCAGAAAGGTGATGGATGAGCCGTAGAGACAGGGTTGGGGACTTATCCTCCGCTTCCTTTTTTTGCATGCTATTTTCTCTGAGCCACTCAAAGCTTTCCCCATGAAAAACCTTCCTGGTTATCTGTTCTCAGAGATACAGGCTGGAATGAATGAATTGCCTGCATGTGTTGCATTTTGTTTGGGATAAAAAGATGACTCAAACTGAGTTCCCACCCTCACGACATCTGGTTAGGAAGCTGGGCCCTGGCCCTGATCGCATGGGATAACCTCGTCATTGAACTCGGGATAAGGTAGCGTGATACAGGGAGGAGGCTGAATTAATCCTGCCTGAAACAAAATGGGGGGTGAGGGGGGCCCGATCAAAAATTTAGTCCAATCTAGGGCAGAAATGTAACCCACTCGAACTTAGTAGGCCATTATTGTCCCCTTAACGGCCCTGGGGCTCACACCCTCTAAGCCCTCTCTAAAGAAGCTTTCCTCGGGACTTCCTGGCTTGATCCCTGGTGGGGGAACTAGGATCCAATGTGCTTCAGAGCAACTAAGTCTGAGTGCTGCAAATAGAGAGTCCGTGAGGCGCCACAAAGATTCTGCGTGCTGCCACGAAGACCCGACTCAACCAAATAAACAAATAGAGGAAAAAATGTCCAAAAAAAAGGGACAAAGTTTGCCTTTGCTGGGTGCTAGCTGCTGGCCAGCCTGTCTCTCACCTCCAGCCACAATGCTGATCCATTCCCCTTCGTCAGGCTGGGGGGCTCTTCTCCCACAATTGACCAGAGCCTCCCCTAAGGGCAGCTGAGAGTGGAAGATGGGGGGGGGTCACGATCTGTGTCCCCTTTCTCCAAGCCCAGAGCAGACCAGAGCTAGCACAGGGCAGCCAGCGTTTACTGAGGGCTTGTTACGTGCCGGGCACTTGCGACTACATTTTACAAGAATTAGCTCATTTTGTCCTCATACCAGGGTGAGGATGGCTGTTTTAATGGACAAAAGGGGAAGAGGCACCCTGAATAGTAAACTTGCCCAAGGATACACAGCCCGGAAGTGATGGAAATCAGGATTTGTAAATATAAATGTGTTTATCTATTTGTTTTGGCTGTGCTGGGTCTTCATTGCCGCGTGGGCTTTTCTCTAGTCACGGCAGGTGGGGACTACTCTCTAGTTGCGATGCTCAGGCTTTTCACTGCGGTGGCTTCTTTTATTGTGGAAGACGGGCTTTCAGCGCTTCAGTAGTTACGTTTCCAAGGCTCTAGAGCATGGGCTCAGTAGTTGTGGCAGAGGGGTTTAGTTGCTCCGTGGCTTGTGGAATCTTCCCAGACCAGGGATCGAATCCATGCCCTGGATTGGCAGGTGGATTCCTAACCACTGGACCCCCAGGGAAGTCCCAGAGTCCAGTTTTAACCACTGAGCTTTATATTGCTGGGGTAGGAGGGCACTCTCAATAATCACCCCAAGAAATCCCCTCACTTCTGCTTGAGGTTGTCCCATTTTGATTTTCTGACCTTCTCTGAGCTGAATCTTTACAGACATCCACCCCCCAAACCATAGCTAGTGGTGGAACAGGGACCCCCCAGTCCTTATTTTTCTAGCAGATTCAAGGGAGGCAGAAGCTTTCCCAAGGAGCTCCACACCTTGGCTAGAAGAGAATAGTCTCTAAAGACTAGGAGGGAGACTTCCCTGGTAGTCTGTCCAGTGGTTAAGACTTCTGAGTTGCCCATGCAGGGGGACTTGGGTTTGATCCCTGGTCAGGGAACCAAGATCCCACATGCCTCGCAGCCCAGCCAAAAGATAAAAATATATAAATTAAAAAAAAATAAAATAAAGGCTATGAGAGATTATAAACACATATAGAATCAGAGCTCACAGTATCCAGCACCTCCCAGTTCCAGGTCCTGGTCTTTTCTCCCAGCCGTCAGAGGCCCCACCTGGGATGTCTGAATTTAATTGTTAGTTTTTCCAGTTTGCTCTGTGCCTACTCATGCCAGAGGCAGGAGCCTAACACAGACCCAGGACAACAGTGGAGAAGGTCATGGCCCATAACTGGATCGATAATGCCAGCATGACTTTTCTCCAGGGCTCCGTTAGTTTAGAAAGACATGGAGGCTCAGAGCCTGTGAACACCACCCCCTTATCCCACCTTCCTGCCAGGAAGGCTCTCTGGGGTGGTCCTCTGAGCTCTGTCCTCTCTTCCCTGTCCTGAACTTCCCTGTGGGGACTCCGCTAAGCCGCCCGTCCTGTTGGAACTGTGACACTGAGGGTTCATGGCAGAGTGCTCATGCCTCAACCCAAAAGAGATGAATCTGGGAAGCTACCCAGATGAGTATTTGGACCTCTAAGGACTTCCCTTCGGAGATCGGACATCACCCCCTACGGGGTACCTGTGTATACTTTAGACCCTCCCACAGGAGGGGCTCATAATCTCCGTCTCCATGAAAATCTGACTCACCCTTTAAGTGAAATGATGGATGAATTTCTGCACCATGACTGTCATGCTTAAAAGCTTGAGACTCTGAAGCTGGATGCAAATCCCAGGCTCTCCATTTTATTCATCTTGTGACTTTAGGCAACTCACTTAATCTGCTTTGGCCTCAGTTTTCTCATCTGTGCAATGGGGTGAAAAAAATCTTTACTTCAGAGGGCTGTGTTGATGATGTCATTACTTGTCATAGGTGCCTGTGTGATATACTATAAAAAGAGATTTGGTCTTTAAAAAAAAATTAATGAATGGATTTTATTTTCTTGGCTGTGCTGGGTCTTTGTTGCTGAATGTGGGCTTTCTCTAGGTGCGGGAGTCTACTCTCTAGTTGAGGTGCACGGACTTCTCATTGCACTGGCTTCTCTGGATGCAGAGCATGGGCTCTAGATCGTGGGCTACGTAGCGGCTCATGGGCTCTGTTGCTCCACGGCATGTGGAGTCTTCCCAGACCAGCGATGGAACCCGTGTTCCCCACATTGACAGGTAGATGCTTAACCACTGGACCCCCAGTGAAGTATTGTATTTGGTCTTCATCCCCAGCCATCCCTGACTACCAGCTCCTAAAACCCTTGGCATTTCCTGAGGGACAGGAGTATCTTCTGTTATCCCTTTGGGCACAGCTGAGTTTATGCTAATGAGGGTTGTGCTCTTAGCCTCAGGATGGGGGCCGGTCACCTGAAAGACCAAATGATCCCAGGGTTGACAGTCTCAGCCCCACCCACTGGCCTCTGGGGATGGGATGGGGGGCCTGGACATTGAACTTTATAAGATGTCTTGAACGTTAAGATTCAGAGAGCTTCTGGGTTGGTGAACAGTCACGGTGGCAGGAGGGAGCCCACCCAGGAAGGGCACGGAAGCTCCATGCCCCACCCCCCTGCCCACATCCTGCCCTACGCATTGCTTCCACTTGGCTGGAAGTGGAAGTGATGAGTTGTATCTTTTCTTTATATATATAATTTATTTATTTTTAATTGAAGGATAATTGCTCTACAATATTGTGTTGGTTTCTGCCATGCATCAACATGAATCAGCCATGGGTATACTTACGAGTGGTATCCTTTATATAGACCAGCAAATGTGAATAAAGTGTTTTCTTGAGTTTCGTGAGCTGTTCTAGCAAACTATAGAACTTGAAGAGGGGGTCACGGGGATCTCCGATTTATAGTCAGTCGGTCGGAAGTATGGGCGACCCAGACGTCTGAAGTAGAGGCAGTCTTGGGGAACTGAGGCCTTAGCTTGTGTGGTCTGTATAAAGTAGTCCGTGTCAAAGTTGAATGAAATTACAGGACTCCCAGTAGGGGTTGGAGAATTGGAGAGTTGACTGGAGTCAGAAAACACCCCAGGGGCTTTCCCGGTGGTCCAGTGGCTAAGACTCTGTACTTCCAGTGCAGGGGACCTGGGCAATTCCTGGTCAGGGAACTAGATCCCAGAGGCCACAATTAAGAGTTTACATGCCATTAACTAAAGATTCCATGTGCCACAAGGAAGGCTGAAGATCTCATGTGTCGCAACGAAGACCCAGAGCAGTCAAATAAATAAAAGTAAATTAAAAACAAAACAAAACACACCAGCCTGACACATTCACATGCTCAGTCAATGTTAATAGGGCCTGCTGCGGGGTTTCTTATTGGAACCGTCTTGGTTTTGTCCTGTTATAGTTCACTGTTTACCTGTTTGACTCTTCCACTAGAACGGGAGGTCCAAGAAGAGGCTATTATTTTCCTTATTTCTATGATTTCCAGCCTGTTTTAGTGACCAACGAAGAGAAGAGACATTTAATTAACTTGCTCAGCAAAGTGTTCCTGAGTTTCTAATTATTTAAACAACAGTTACTGGGCATTTACTATGTGCCAGACACTGTTTCGAGCATTGAATATACAGCAGTCTGTGCATAGACGATAAAGTCCATGGTTTCATGGAGGTAATGCTATAGCAGAGGGAGCCAGATAATATGTAAATAAACCAATGAATATGTTAATCTAGTGGGTGAGGATAAGATCAATGAAGCAAAATTAAACAGGGTAAGGAAATAAAGAATAATGGGGGAATGGAAGCAACGTAAGTGTCCATCAAACAATGAGTACATAAAGAAGATATATATACAGTGGAATAGTACTCAGTCATAAAAAAGAAGGAAGTTTTGCCACTTGTAACCACATAGTGGACTTGGAGAGAGGTAAATATAAACCAGACTGAGAAAGACAAATACCGTATGATAGCACACTTATATGTGGAATCTAAAAAATGTAACAAACTAGTGAATATAACAGAAAAGGTGCAGACTCACAGATAGAACAAACCAGTGGTTATCAGTGGTAGGGAGAGGGAAGGGAGGAGGGTCAATATAGGGGTAGAAGAGTAAGAGGTACAAACAGTACATATAAAAGAAACTCTGAGGATATATCATGCAACACAGGGAATATAGCTAATATTTGGTAATAACTATAAATGGAATATGGGCTTCCCTGGTGGCTCAGCGATTAAGAATCTATCTGCAACGCAGAAGACGCAGGAGACCCAGGTTCGATCCCTGGATCAGGAAGATCCCCCCTGAAGGAGGGCATGGCAACCCACTCCGGTATTCTTGCCTGGAGAATCCCATGGACAGAGGAGGTGGGCTATAGTCCATAGAGTGGCAAAGAGTCAGACATAACTGAAGTGACTGAGCATGCGTACATAAATGGAATATAACCTTTAAAATTGTGAATCATTGTGAAACAGATCTCCAGTCCAGGTTTGCATGAGACAAGTGCACGTGGCTGGTGCACTGGGATGACCCAGAGGGATGGGACGGGGAGGGAGGTGGGAGGGGGGTTCAGGATGGGGAACACATGTAAATCCATGGCTAATTCATGTCAGTGTATGGCAAAAACCACTACAATATTGTAAAGTAATTAGCCTCCAACTAATAAAAATAATTGGGAAAAAATAATAAAATTGTGAATCACTATATTGTACACCTGTAACTTCTATACTATTGTACATTAATTATACTTCAATTAAAAAAAAAAAGAGTGGTGAGGAAGACCTCTCTAACAAGGTGATCTTCGAGCTGAATTCTGAAGGAGTGAGGGAAGAGGCCCAAGGGTTTAGGGGGACAGGGTAGCATGATGGGAGGTCCCCAGCTGTGACCCATCAAGGAAGAGCCAGCGACCAGGCCGCCCGCCGGCAGTGAGAGGGAGGGAAAGAGGGCGGTGATCACGGTATCCCTGACCTCAGGTCTAGGTCACGTAGGGTGAGGAAGGTCACGGGAAGAATGTTGGATTTTATTCTGAATGAGAAGAGAATTCTAGAGTGTTTGAAAAGAGGAATGATCTGATCTGAACTGGACTTTCACATCTCCTCTCTGCCTCCTATGTGGAGGATGACTCTGGTGGGAGGACCATGGGGCCCGGAGACCCGCTCGGAGGTTAGGGCGACGGTTTGGTGGTGAAGGAGGTGGTGAGGGAGGTGGGGTGTGGGTGGAAATTGCGTCCAGTGGGATCCCTGACGTAGTGAGCAGGAGTGAGAAGATCTGTCCAGAAGGACTTCTAGGTGTTTGACTTAGGCTGTGAGAATGGAATCCTGTTTATGAAGCTGGAGAAGACTCAGGAAGGGTCAGATGTGGGGAGAAAATGAAGCATTGGGTCCATCCCTCTTTGGAGCTGGGGGAGTCCAGCTTGGTGCCCTCAGGAGTCGATGGGCCAGTTAGGAGAGGCCGGGATGGACACGAATGGGTGTCTAATCACACACCGAGACGAGTGCTGGGAAGGGAAGGGGGCCTTTGAGAGTGCCACGAGGGCAGAGGACCCTGAGGGGGTCAGGACAGGCCTCTGAGGAGGTGAAAGCTAAGCGGCCTGGAGGATGATCAGGCCTGGGGCAGGGAGGAGCTTGGCGCCTTGGGCTGAGGACAGACGCCTGTCCCTGGGGGTGCAGGGGGAGGTAGGGTGGATGAGGGCCCCCTCTTGCTCCTGCCTCTCTCTGGCCAGCGCTCAAGCCCCCCATGAGCTCCTGAGCACCCAGAGCTCGGGGACGCTGCGTCTCTCTTGCCCGGGATCTCCCAGGTGGCTCAGGACCCGGGGGCCTCTCGGCAGGTCAAGGTGCGGGGGGCTTTCCTGGTGCCCCTGACGGCTCACTTCCCACCTGGTTCTGGGCTCCTCGGGGTCCGTGACTGATTCTTTAGATAGTCCTCCCCCACCCTCCAGCCAGGGGCTGCTCCATCCACAGCCTTTTCTCCTCAGAGGCAGCGGAGAGGATGGGCTCAGTCCCAGGCCAGCAACCCCTCCCGGAGCCCCACCGGGGTCAGAGTACTCAGGGCCTAGAGGAAGGAGAAGCAGCTCTGGTGAGGAGAGTGTGTGTGACTGTGTGAGTGTGTGTGTGTGAATGTGTATGTGTGCGAGTGTATGTCTGTCTGTGTGTGAGTGTACACGTGTATGTGTGACTGTGTGAGTGTGTGTGAGTGTGTGTGTGTGAATGTGTATGTGTGCGAGTGTACATGTGTATGTGCGAGTGTGTGTGAGTGTGTGTGAGTGTATGTGTGTGTATGAGTCTGTGTGTGTGTGACTGTGTGTGTGTATGTGTGTGGATGAGTCTGTGTGTGACTGTATATGTGTGTGTGACTCTGTGTGATTGTGTGAGTGTGTGTGTGAGAGTGTGTGTGTGTGCAAGTGTGTGTGTATATCTGTGTGTGAGTGTGTGTATGTGTGTGAGTGTGTGTGTGTGTGATTGTATGTCTGTGTGAGTGTATGTGTATCTGTGTGACTATGTGTGTAACCGTGTCTGTATATGTGTGGCTGTATGTGTGTGTGAGTGTGTGTGTCAGTGTGTGTATGTGTGTGTGACTGTGTATGTGTGTGAGCATGTGAGTGTGTGTGATTGTGTGTGAGCATGTGTGTTTATGTGTGTGTGCGCACGTGTCTCAGTGTATGTGTGTGACTGTGTGTGTATGACTCTGTGTGTGTATCTGTGTGACTGTGTGTGTGTGAGCATGTGAGTGTGTGTGAGCATGTGTGTATGAGCATGTGTGTGTGTGATTGATTGTGAGTATGTGTATGTGTGTGAGCATGTGAGTGTGTGTGAGCATGTGTGTATGAGCATGTGTGTGTGTGATTGATTGTGAGTATGTGTATGTGTGTGAGCATGTGAGTGTGTGTGTGTGCATGTGTGTGCACATGTGCATGTGTATGAATGTGTGCATGTGAGTGTGTGTATGTGTGTGTAAGAGCGTGTGCATGTGTATGTGTGGCTGTGTGTATGTTGTGTGACTCTGTATGTGTGTGTGCATGTGTGTGAGCATGTGAGTGTGTGTGAGCATGTGCATGTGTGAGTATGTGTGTGACTGTGTATGTGTGTGTGCATGTGTGTGAGCATGTGAGTGTGTGTGTGTGTGTGTGAGTGTGTGTGGTGGGGACGGCTCACCAGCCACCCGCTTCTCCATGCTGTGCTGGGGTGCCCTGTGGAGCCGCTGGGTGGGCCCTGCTCTCGGGACACCCCCCACAGTGACTGCCCCATGCCCTGTGGTGGGTGGGTGTCAGTCCCTGGTCAGTCTCCGCACCCCAGGGCCGAGGCTCGCACGCCCGCCCCCGTGGTACCCCAGGGAGGCTGAGGCAAACAGAAGAGGAGCAGACAGCTGGTGTAGGAGGATGCGGCATTATTCTGAGCAGGCGGGGAGGTGGAGGTCGGCCCAGGCTGGTCTGGCATGTCTGGGGTCACCCCCCGGGGCTCTGGGTCGGGTGGTGGGGGGCGATTCTTCCTCTTCAAAGCCTGTGGCAGGGAGGCCCAGGTTGAGGCAGACCTCAAACATTTGTCTAGAGCCGAGCCTGCTTCCAGCCCTCACCACTATTTACAAGAATTATTTTTATCAAAGGAATACACGCATATGGTGAAGAAGAGGAACAGCGCGGAAAAGCTTGTAAAGAGAAGCCAGGCAGGGCCTCTTTCCAGTCCTGTTGCCAGCGGCGGCTGTGACCTGGTCCTCCTGTGACTTCTCTGCTCTTTGTAGACGCAGCCTGGGAAGGAGGTCTCGGGGTGGGTTGGAAGCCCACGGGCTTTCTGGAGCGGCCCCTCCCAGAGGCCATCCTTAGATTCCCAAGCCCGCTCCTCTGGGTCACTGTCACCCTCTCCCCTGCTGATAGGTCACTTCCCACCGCCTGCAGCGCGTGGGAAGCCCCTCCAGTCACAAGGGATCTCAGAGAAACGTCCTTACTCACACAGCCTGGCAGAGTGGACTTCTTTTTCTTTTTTTAACTTTCCTGACCAGGGATTGAACCCGGGGGCCTTTGGCTGTGTTAACCACTGGACCTCCAGGGAATCCCTAGATTTCTAATTGGCTGGAAAAGTTGGGCTTTGCGTGGAGCCTCGATTCCCTGCAGCAGCTGTCCTCTTGGTGACTGGTGGGTCCGTGGGGCTGGGGTTGAGGGGCTCTGGAGTTGGCCACTGAGCCACCAGGGGGGGTCCCCTTCTCTGTGCGTTCCTTTTTCCTTTCCTCTCCTGTGAGACGCTGTGGAGTTTTGGTTTCACTCTGGGCAGCTTTTGCTCTTTTTGCGCCCCAGTCTCCAGCCAGCTCTTTCCTTTCAAGCTAGGGGAACCGGAAGGGGAGGCTTGGGTGTCTATCCTGCGCTGGCTTGTGAAGGGGAACCTGGCCTTACCACGTGACCCTCCCTGTGTCAGACCCCCCTGTGTCAGACCCCCGAGGGGAGCCTGTCGGGCTCTCCGGGCTTTAACTGCCTCTTGGAGGGTCCCCTTCCTCAGCCGCAGAAGTTCCTGTTTCATTTCTGAAAGAAGTTGGCAGTTCCCCCCACCTCGATACCCCCACCCCCGACAGTTGTCTGCTCCATCCATCAGCGCTCCCCTGGCCCCATTGCTCCGCAGAGATTCCAGCAGGCTGCAAAGCCAAGCCAGGCTGGGTCCACCGCTGCTCCCCGATGCTTAATGAGCACTTACTATGTGCCAGGCTCTGTGCAGAGCACGTGACGGGCTTTATCACATTTAAACGTCACAAGGACACCATGAGGCCCTGTTTACAGGCTGGGGGGGGGGGGAAAGAAGCACCACGGGGCTTAGTCTCTGGCTCGAGGGAATGTGGCCGGCAGGGAGCAGACTGGGGATTCGGACCCAGACAGACGGGTGTCAGAGTCTTGGCGCGAGCCTCGTGGCCACGCGTGCGCCTGTGTGAGTGCGTGTGCATGCACACAGCTCCCCTCCCCCAGTGCGGCCCCTCTTCTCCTATGCCTGCAGCTCCTCTCCCTGGAGCTGGTTCCCGAGCTCACTCTATAAAACCCTTTTGATGCCCTGGGTTCCTCGCAGTGGACACAGTGAGAGGCCTGTTCCCTGCTCCCCACCTCCTGCCCTAGGGAGGCTCCGGGCCTCAGCTCAGAGCGCCAAACGGCACGGCGGCTGCCAAAGTGGGCCCGGGCATCCCAGGTGAGCAGAGTGCTCCAGGAGCGGGCTGGGGGGTGGGGGATGGGCAGGGACCCATCGCACAGACACACAGACGCTGTGAGCCCGGGGGTGGGGGTAGGGGGAAGGTGGCTCTCCCGCGGACCTCCTGGCCCCCGACCTGGGCTTGGAAGAGGGCCATACCAGGGCAGAGGCTCTTTCCTGGCAGAAGGCTGCCCTCCACCATCAGCGCACACCCCAGAATCCTGGCACCCCTAGAAGCAAACTCCCACCCATGGAGGAATCAAGCTGCAAAGACACTTAGAGTCCTCAATTTTGGGCCCCTCCTGTCACCTGTGGTTTGTGGGGGGAAGGGTGATGAGGGGGAATCCCAGGGAAAGCCAGCTGTCAGATGCAGAGGGGGTAAAAGGTGAGCTGGCTGGGCTTACCCAGAGGCCCCCAAATGGAGGTGCACCCCCCTCTTTCTCCAGGGGAGGAGATGCCCTTTTGGGAAGCCAGAGAAAGGCAGGAAGCCTGCGTCCAAGGGTAGATGGGGCGGGCGGGGGCTCAGCCCCCAAACAGCTGCTGTCTGGGCAGGAAGATGTCCGTGGGGATCCCGGGGAGGGGGCGGGGGTCAGCAGCAGCCCCTGGAGCCTGTGGCCCAGCTGGGCACCCCCTCCCTGGAGCCTGCCGGCCCAGCTGAGGAGGGCCGTGGGCAGGGCCTGCCTTTGCAGATCTGGCTTTATCTTCTGCACACATTGAAACCATCAGGCCTGGCCCTCCGAGCAGCCAGCCTAGCCCCGTCAGCTAGAGACACTGAGCTTTCATCCAAACCAGACCTTCCCTCCTCCAGGTCCCTGCTCGGGGGAAGGGGGCCAGAGAGCACAGCCCTGGAGCCAATTCCTGAACTTTTTAATTGTTAGTCCCCTCTTCTACTCTCCTCTCTGAAATATCCATGAGGCCACCTCCCACTCTGGGCCCATCACTCCCCGCCTCATCCTCCAAGGGGCATTTAGAGGATGCTAAAGAAAACGGAGTCCGGGGGGCCCCAAAGGACAGAGCTGCACCATCAAAGCAGCGAGGGCGCTTCTGTCCTTCCAGGTTTGGGGAAACCAATTCAAAGGCAAACCCCGAATGCCTCTTGCTTGGGGCCAATAAAAATCTTGCTTCAGTGCCGGCTTCCTCCGCTGAAATCAGATATCCTAGCAATAAACAAGTTTGAAAGGCAGGGAAAAGCTCTTACTTTCTTCTTCTGATTAGTTTTTCTTCCAATACCCTCTCTTCTCACAGGATGCCTGCCCCAGAAACTTGAGTGCAGAACTGCACCCTGACTCCAAAGTCCTAACCTCCCCCGCCAGGCTCCTACAGGCGCGGGTGGGGCCTGGAACACTTGATGGCTTTGCTCAAAGGCAGGTTGAAGGGGGCTGGGGGAACAGACCTTGCAGCTTGGGGAGCTGGCTGCCAGCTTATAGTTCTCAGCCTTTGGCTGCTGGCGGCAGTCAGAAACAAGAAGTGGAATTAGGACAAACTGGGACCACTTTTTTCTCAGGTAATCCTTCTGAAGTCCCCTCCATGCACTGCAGGCTGTGAAAAGCCCAGCACCGTGGGGTTTTGTGTTGAGTGCACAGTTGGGAAAGCCAGCCAAGGTGGGTTTTGAGGCATCAGAGAGGCTGGGGGGGCAGAGGACTTGGGGTTTCGCTGCCTCGCCTGGCCCACCAGCCCTCTCTCGGGGTCCCCCCGCCCCTTGTGTCTTTATCCCAGGGGAGTGGTCCTCCATGGGCGGCCTGCTGTGAGGCGCACCCTCCCCTAGGAGCTGACTTCTCTTCCCCACCGCCCTCCACCCCCGGATTGCTTTTTAAGTGACTTTGCTGTCCGAGATGCTATTCTGTTTGTTTTTCCTTCTAACACTATCTCTCCGGAGAGTTTCTGGTCAAGAGAATTATGTCGAGGCTGCAGATTGCAAGAGAATTGAGCCTAATGGGGAACAGACAGACAAGACACCTTTCATGTCCAGCCAAGTTTTTCCTCTCCCCCCCACCCCCGTTCTCTCTCTCTCTCCCCCAACTTCTCATCTTCCCTTTTTGGCTTCAAAGTTGGCCCTAGCTTGCGCTAGTTTCTTCGGTACAGCTGGTGAATAAGGTCACACATTGATTTTATTTTGGAGATTGGCAGCTGGGTCAAGCCTAGCTCTGAAGCTGGGGAGCTCCAGGCAGGAGTGCAGCCAGCCAGCTCGCGGAGAGAACCTTCCAGAAGGCCATCGGCACTCGGAGGGTGGCTCCTGTTCCTTTGGGGTCTCAAAGCTCAGAAGCTGGATAGTGTATTGATTTTTAAATACAAAAAAATGTGACTAGAGTACCCCCCCCACTGTCGCCCCACTCCCCACCTCTGTCCTCACCGTATGCCATTTCAGCCCCCTGTGTTGGAATTGACAGAAGACAGTGTCAGCTCTGAGGTCCCTTTTGGGACCCTGAAATGATTTTTTTTTTTCAGAGAGGGACTCGACCTTGCGAATCGAGACTCAGCCACAGGTGGCCTGAGATATCTACAAGCTGGGTATAAAGCCGGGCACGACTGGGTGTGGTTGAGGGAAAGTGGGTAGAAAAAAAAGGAGAGACCCTCTTCCTACCTACGTGCTGCTTGAGGGGAGGGCCGATTAGCAAAAACTGTCTCGTGGACGGTTGGATGCTTTCGCCCTTAGTCACGAGGCTGATGTAATAACATTCAACTGATTTCATGGTAAAGACAGCCACGGCTCCCAGCGCGGATCAGCTCAATTGCACTGTTGCACGTCCAGTCTCATCGAAGCCCTGTAGGAACAGGGGGGCGAGGCGTCCCCGCTCGGTGCTTTGGGGACACTTCTCGTCTCAAGGACAAGGATGTCCTGGATTTTCCGAATGCCCCGTTTGACCTCCTTCCTCCTGGCCCAGTCTTGGGGAACAGAATTCAACGCCTGTCTGGCCAAGGGGGTAAAGGGCACTCTCCACACTCTCTGAGCCCTGCAGCCTGTGGCACAGTTTGCATCTATGTGAGGGAAACAGGGTAAAAGAAAGGGAAGGGTGAGTCCAGTCAGGCTGGGTTTAATTCTCTCTCTCCCTCCCATCCCCTCTACTTGGGGTTCCAAAGTTTGTTCTGCATTAAGCCGTGTCAGTTCTCGACAATGGCTGCAGGCTGGAGCACATCCATTTCTTTCATGTTAAGAAGTTTCTTTTACATGACGTTTATAGGGAGGCCCTCGTGGTTAGGACTCGGAGCTTCACCGCCGTGGGCATCGGTTCGATCCCTGGTTGGGGAACTAAGATCCCACAAGCTGAGCGGTGCAGCCAAAGAAATCAAAAGTAAACTAAATGAAGCTTATAAATCTAAGGATATGCCGCTTACTAATTATTAAAGGCTGAGACAGCAGAGGCCAGGTGGTGTGGTGATCAAGCTCTGGACCAGGAATCAAAGGTCTTGAGTTTCTTTCTTGTCCTGCCACCAACCCACTCTGACCTCAGGGAGGAGCACACAGAACCTTCTCTGGGTCTCGGTGCCCCATGCACAAAGGGACGCCGCCCCAAAGCCTAAATCACCCTACTGGCTGCCGCGAGGGCAGAATCAGAGGATGTAGGGATAGTAATTTGTGTGCCATGAGTGATGTGAAAAGCAGGTGGAGGAGGACCATTTGAATATTAAGAGGTTGCTTTGTTAAGAGATGCAGTGAATCTGTAAGGAACCTCCCTGAGGCAAAACCTTGAAGGATTTACTGTGGGATCTCTGAGCATCCAGACCTTCTGGGGCTGGTACCAGGGCGACCGGGGTCCAGGGGCTGGATCGCATCGTCAGAGACAGGCTGCATGGGTGGGTGTGGTCCAGGATGGCATGATGTTGTCACTCAGAAAACTGGCCGTGGACGCTGTCAGGGCTTTGACG